TTTGGCAGGAACAGTTGACTTGGCCTGCGGCTTCTTGTGCGTTTTTTGCAACTATGCAATACAAAAGAAAAAAAAACGCATAAGAAAAACGCATATTGGCGAGGGGTTGTCTGTGTGTCTGTGCGTCCGTGTGTGCGTTTGTCACGGTTTTTCATCTCAAGACCCACAAAAGCTACAGGGCTGAAACTTTGGGAACTTAATCTACATGCACGTGCCAGCTCCAATCCCCAAAATGGGCGCCATCACCCGCGTGGTACCCGCGTATAGACCCGCCAAAGTTTTTTTTGTATAAGTTGATAACTCGGGGATTTGAGAAGCTAGAACGCTGAAATCTTAGGGGAATGTTCGCCGTCCAAGTGGGTATTAACGAGTTCAAACCTAGCCCGCGTAAGCGTGGTACTTACGTGCGGGCCCGTGAAAGTTTCTTCCGGATAAGTTGCTAACTCGAGAACGTGAGGGTCTAGAAGGCTGGAATTTTGGAGGGATGTTTCCCGACAGTTCTAGCGGCCAGTCTGAAATTCTTTAAGCTAGAAGCATCTGCCGGAAGAACCAATGCCGTTAGTGACAAAAATATAGGGGGAGCTACGCAAAAACAATTCTTCGCACGAGCAGCCCTTGTGTTGACCAATTATTTTGTGAACTTTTAAATGCATCGTTGTTGTTTTCTGTTTACTATTATCATTGGCGGTGCTTGACACATTTCACTGTTTAAAAGCAACAAAAAAATTATCACTCTTTCCAGTGCTTAGTGCTCATGCCTCTCTCTTTGGCTATGTTTCAATGTTCCGTTAACTTTAGTGCTTCCCCCCAAGTGTACTGTTGCTTGCAGATGCAAAAATGCCTGGGGAACGCTTCGCGTATTCTGCGAAATCCGGAGCCCGGTGATATTTGCATCGTGGAGTGCGAAGGGCAATTGTTTCGCGGTGAAGTGATTGACAAGGTGGACAGGGAGAACGCATTCGTTGTGCGTTATGTTGATTATGGGGACGAGCAGTGCTTTAATGCTAAGTTACTTTATTCAGTTGATGGCGAAGTTCAGGTGATTTCTTCTTTCTTCATGTAGTGCTTATTGTTCAAGACAACGATTCATCTGTGGAAAACACTGTAACAATGTTTCTAAGCAATTTCCAGAAAGCAGTGCCGCTTTAATCGCTAAGAAATCATCTTTTTCTCTGGTGCTAATGCCTAGACTACACAATTAGGGAAAGGAATTGTGGAATGTCAAAATGCTAAAAAATTAGCTAAAATGACAAATCTTTATCAAAAGAGCTCGAAGTTTAACTAAAAAAAAAAAATTGGCCAACGCACGGGCTGCCCGTGCGGAGATGCGTTTTTTGCAGAGTTCCCCGAAGTTTTTGTCGCTACCGGCATCGGTTTTTTCGGCAGATG